GCGAGTAGAATGTAGGAGTATCAAGAGCTCTGGGAAGGTTATGGTTGGTGACGTTGGTAAAGGCACATCGCTGGTCAGCGCGACGTAAGACCTGGGACTTTCTTTTTCCTCGATTCCTACAAATGTGATAAGGGCGTTCGGTTAGACTGAAGGTTCTCAGGACGCTCCGAGGTAGTTCATTCGGACATGGAAATGTTTTCTCGAGGAAGTTTTTTGTAAGGATGAATAGATTATAAGAAGGAGGAGTTGGAAGGCCAGGTAACTCAATTTGCCACGGTAGAGTTCGAAGAAACTGAAGGTCCTTTGGTGGAACCAAGTTGATCGTGGAGTAAACTTGAAAGGAGGTCGAGAAATTCGATAAAATCGAACGTTCTTGTAATTACTTTACAATTTGACTTTTTTCTTCTTTTTTCTTCTTTTTGTTAAATATTTCTCAATTTAAAGTCAACGGCAGATCTCGTTAAACCCTCGAGTCTCTCGTAATGTTTGAACTAATTATACGGTCGTACGATCGGTCCGAGTGAACTGGTAAAAGAATTTCGGCGGAATTAAACGATTTTCCGCAACATCGGTAGTTTATTCTCCTCGCTTCTATTTCCGTCCCGCCTTCAACCACCCTCCTCGACCGTTTCTAAAAATCGCCTGCGTTTAAAGGAAGTCCTTCACCTGGCGCGCGCTCTCATCTTTCCGATCTAGATAAGCGAAGAACTTTCCAAGGGTGAATATCGCGGGGGAAGCGTCACGAGTGTCACACAGGAGTGTCCCTCCCACGCGGCGTTTATCCCAACCTCGTTCATGACGCGTGTTAATGAGAAAGGACACGAGAACTTGTGCACTATAGCGTAGGATTAGCACCAGTTATCGCACTTGCAGTCCTCCTCGTTTCAACGAAAATGAACAGTCATTGGAAAGATGAAAAACCGTTCCGATAACGAGGAAGACAGAAGAAAATAGAGCATCTATTGCTTTAGAAATTTACTCCAAGAAATTGGATAAAGACGGAGTGTAACTTTTTTTACACCTCTACTATAGCTTACGAAAATTCATAAAGTAAGCAACGAGTCGTGTTTGGTGCTTAACCCTTTCGATACTAACGACGACTACAGTCGTCCATCGTTGGACCCTCACTGTTTTGAAATCTTCCACACAAAATTCTATTATCAAGCAATTTTATAAAGTGTTATTACTTATTACTTATTCTTCCCGCCAATTTGTTACATTGTACGGCAAAATTTAACTACTATACTCCTTATCCGGTGAAGTGGAGTTCACGCCATAGCTGTCTCGTTCAGTGGTAGCGTATTTGCGATAAAACTGTCCGTTCAACGGAAACATAGTGGTCAAAGATGAGCCATAGAAAAGCCAGAAAGGGTTGAAGTCTAAAAGTGGGGCGAGCAACCTTGAGCGATCAAATATTCGACACAGCCTATATCCACCACACTTTTCCATATCGAATTCTTCCACTTCCTCGAACCTTTAAAACACTGCAACGCGACAGAAAAAAGGGAGTAATTACACATTCTACTCGAGGTTGCATTAGTTTATAAAACGTGAACGTTACACCAGCCATTGCACGTACAAGTACGCGGACTTCCTGCCGCGTGCTCGAGTCTACCAGTCGTGCTGCAATTTCCTTCTGCGGTATTTCCCGCTCGCACACGCCGGATTTGGAGGGCATTCCGCGGATTCTCGTCTCCTTTTACGTTCCCACGTCAAACTCCGCGTCAAAGTTACTCCGTCGCGATCATTGAAAGTGCTCGATCGGATGATTCTTACAGAATTATCTCTCCCGTTGTGAATGAAACCGATGGAAAAAATCTGCGCGCGATTTTCGTCGAATTTTCCACAGAGAGAAGACATCATGTGTGTGTAGAATACAGGAGACGTTCGAGTTTGATTTCGTACGGTCAGTTAAACGCTCGTTAGCGAGAAATTCGATCCTCCAGAAAATTTATGCCTCTGTAATGGGTCATCTCGGTCGCACGATCTTTTTTATCAAGTTTGCGCGAACCTAGATTTCACGGTTCAATTCGTCGTCTCTGTGTTTAACGACTCTTGGCCGAGTTTCACGCTTCTGATTCGTATCGCGGTTCAAACAAATATCAAATTTATGTCCAATAGCTACATATTTTAAGACGATATTGTTACGCGCTGCAAATGAACGTCGTGAACTTGACCTCGATCGATAAGAAGAAAAGTATTTATCTACTACCGGTCCTTGCTGACCAGTAACTTTGATAAAATAAAGAAGTAGAGTCATTAGCGAGATTTCTCTGAGTTTAGACCGATTAATTATTACATTTTTTTTATTAAGTATTACACAGAATAAAGTAGTGTTGCAGATTCTTGCGTATAGTTACTCTTATCACCTGAAGGTAACGTCGAACGCAGCAATATTCACAGACGATTTCAGATTTCCACGAGAATTTCAATCGACACTCGCAACTCCCCACATCATCCATATAAATATCCTTCTAATTCGATGTTAACGAGCAAGCTGAAAAGTACAAAGCAAAAATGCCCGTTCAAAGGGTTCGCAGCACACCAATTCCGCGGAACGTTCGTGCGTACCAGGAAAATTACAATTACGGAAATCAAGGCGAAATACAATTTCCCGTAAAGCTGAAGAAAAAGAATGAAAAAAAGAAGAAGGAGCAGTAAAGATGGGGAAAAAAAAAAGAATGAAGGAAGTGGCGCGTGTGTGTACGATGAACGAGATGAAAACGAGCGTATATGCATTTTCATTCGTCGAGGAAAAAGGGAGAAAAATTGAAACGAGAAACGACGGAATAATATTTCCAGCATTGTCGCGCGCGAACCACGACATGTGTGTGTCTCTCACGGTTATGTTTTGACCCGGCCACGTCCCGGAACACACCACCTCCGACCTTAATCCGGGATCAGACGCTTCCGGAAAAACGCTGTCACGCCTCTTAATTGCGACATCGCCGCGGCGGACGAGGAAACTTTTCGTCGGAGAAATCGACCAGTTCAGCGGTTTCGTTCATCGTAGTTTATGCATCGAGCTTTCTCCCTGCGTGAACTTTTCCTGTCCATCTGCCGCCATTTTTAGTGTAATTCTTTGTTCTTTTTCTTTCTCTTTTTACTTGGTATTTACTACGCAAAATACTCATGGAACCTCGATATAGACAGTGTTTTTGTATTGTTAATTCGGTGCCTCTTTTCAGAAAGTCTCGAAGACTTTATCGACTCGAAACTGTCACACTTTTTCAGAGATGGAATTCGTTAGTTGCTCGTTAAATAGAAAAAACTCGTTCAAAATAATGGAGATGGTTAAAATTGTGTTTGACTTTGTGTAAGTCAACATTTAAGTTTGTGAGAAAAGGCACTGAATTCAATATCAATATTAGATTCACGTTAATTATTTTATTTGCTATTAACCCTTTGAGAACGATGCAAATAGTTGACGTGGTCATTAATTTATGTAGGTGAGTGTACCTAATGAAAATATTATTTCGATACGATTTGGTTTTTAAAAGCAGTACAGTCCTCCGTCCGCAAAGGGTTAAAGAAACAGCCTTCTTTTTTCTTTCCATTATTTGTCTATTCTTCGAAAGTCGAAAATGAATCACCCTGTATCTTCTTCATTTATTGCTAAAGGAATAACCTTCTGATAGCCTTTTAATAAAACTGGAACGATAATACGTACGTAAAATTGTGCGTTAACACGTTCACTGTTGATCGAATTTTCATTACCCACGATACTATACGCCAATTTTCATACAAAATGTATTTCCATGTCGTATAATAAAACTTTATACGCGTGAATTATTACAAAAGTTTATCACGAAATTTCATTGTTAATTTGTGCATACATGAAAAACGAATACGTACGTCAATTTACGCGTATCGCCGTGATAACAGCCTACGGATTTGGTCTGCAGCAAACGTGTTGAAGTTTCGTTGAAACGATGTCTGACGATAAGCTTTTAAAAATAGCAATTCCAATGTGTAAAGATCAGCACAACTTCTGGCAATTTCCTGACAATATCTCTGACAATGAGATCCGTCAAAAGACGGTGTGTAACACAGGCGAGTTCTTTGTAGGTGGAAATGGGTCCGAGGCGATTGATGGGAATAAATGCGTTTCAGAAAATAGCTTTAGGCATTGCAATCTTGCCAAGTATCTTCTTAACTGCGCTAGAATTTGAGCGGTATCACGGATACACAACAGCGATGCTCAAAAGTCACCGAACAAACTTCTCCAATTACCGCATGAAAATCCATAAAACGACGTTAACTCGTGATTTATTCGTCCTGGAAATAATAGGGGAATATTCAATAGGGAAATTACCGGCGTGATTTTCTCGCGGAATTTTTACATTCGAATCGATCCTATCCCGCACAATAGGCGCACACTCTCCCCGTAAGTTTTTAATTAACAGCAGTCTCGAACGTGAAACAGTGGCGGGAATTTCGATTAAACAAGGAAATTTTCCTCTTTTTCTCTAGCCCGTTAATTTCATACCGCTCGAACGCAACTCGGCGTCTCTGATGCGTCGTGAACGAATCTTCAGGCAAGGTTTCCACGTTCAAGAGGCTCGTGAAACTTTTTCGAAAAATTACCTAACTGGTCGCAAAATAAAATTACAAAAGAAAAAAGGGAGAGAAGAGAAACGAGGGTGTAGAGGATAGGAAAAAGTTCTCATTTTTGTTCGACAGAGGGATAAATCCTGCTTAATTACCGACAAAAGGATATCCGGCCTAATTAATGTTCATAGCTAGCTTTC